GAGAGAGAAAGAGAGAGAGAGAGAGAGAGAAGGAGAGGCAGTCTGCTTTTTGTTCCCCTGCTCCGCTGAGCTAGCAGAGGCGAGCCCGGCCCTCTGACAAGACTTGGAAACCATGTGGTTTCCATGCTCAAAACCATGCGCCTTCACAGAGGCACAACTCAACATTTCTCTCCTGGAAAGAAAGATCTGCGTCGCCCGAAAGCCCTGGCCTCCAGTTCTCCTTTGCTGAATAAACTCCAACACAACACCGAGCCGTTATCGCTTCATGAAGAAATCCGCAGCCTTGCGGTCTACTGCCACGAAGACCACCTGTCCCCTATCTGCCCGACTGACCGACCGACCGCCGCTCATCAGCCCCCTCAGGGGGACTGGCCCACTTCACAAATCCATGGCCGCCCAGTCTACGGGAGGGCCGCCAGCCTGTTTCAGAAGGCTTTCCCCCACTTTACGGCCAAAGAATCAAAATGGGGGTGGCGGGGGAGAAACCGTCTGCAGACAGAGGAATTCCCACTCGCGCCTCCAAAGCACAAATCCAAGGCTCTTTAAACGCCACGTTTTAGTCACAACAAGACTTGGAATTCAAAAGTACTCTAAAACTTTGAGCATGGGCCTAAATGAAAACATTTTCTTTTCAAAGGAAGGATTAACGTGGCAGGTGGGTTTCAGCACCACAATTACTCAGAGAAGAGGCAAGAGACAGGAACGAGAGCCTTCCTTTTGCAAGGCAGTTGCTAAGGGAAATTAGGCAGATTGCCCGTTGACTTAATGCCGATCACAGGTTTAAAATAATGATGAATATCCTGATGATAATTTGATCTGCAAACCACGAAAGGGATTACTTCTGTCACCTTCTTAATTATAACTGACATCAGACGATCAATTTGTAGAGCAAAAAACGACAGCTTTTCAAGAGTGGATGCCCCGTTTAAAAGCAAACTCATTTCGAAGCATGCCAATATTTCATTCGCCTGCTTTTCTAAGACTGGCTAAAACCCAGTAGAAAGTCACAGCTAGCGGAGACCCACTGAATCCACAGAACTCACACAGGGGTTGACTCACCAAATTCCCACGGATTCGATGGGCCTACTCTAGTTGTAACTTACGACCAGGTCTTGACCGTGGTCATAACTTCCCAGAGTAGATAATCCGATGGATCCTTCAAGGCCTGGATGACCCAAACGGCTGTTGTGTAGATGTGCGGGGTTTTTTCCCCCTTGGGTAAAATAAATATACTTTTTTCTTTTTACCATCTATTATAGGATGCTCAGGGTGAACTAAAGGGGTGCCTGGACACCCCCCCAGGGAACTCATGGGTCTCATCTCCTCCCCACTTCTTTTCCAGGTGTACAGAAAAAGAAGAAATGAATCACTCTTCCATAAAAGCATTTCAGCAGAAATTTGGCTGAAGAGAACACGCTGAGCCGAACTGGAAGAAATCTCTCTCTCTCTCTCTCTCTCCCATATTGCAATCCATCAGCTAATCAGTGTCATTTGGATGACATAATAATTCATGAGACGCCAAGGATGTTGCTCACCTGTGGCTTCTCTTGCTATTTGCATACCATGCGTAGCCGGTGCAAGAAGGGCTCAGGGTTACGTCACAGGACTTCTACGTAAGGGCTGGAATCTTGCAATGCCTACATGGGTGTGTGACATTTTGCACTTGTTAATTCCCCTGGAAGGGATGAAATGAGAGGGTGCAAAAGCCGTCTCTAGAGAAATTAAGGTCCTCCCAGAGTCTCTGGTCTGGATATTGGCTGAACAGGCACAAATTGGAGCTGGAAGTGGGAATGACAAAGACATCTTGTCCCACCCTAATTGTTTTCCAATTTGCACTTTAAGGAGATCTTTAGAGAAACAGTTGATGTAAAATGAAGACAAGGGTGGGGTTATCAACAGCCTCCAACAGGTCTACAACACAGCATTGCCGGGTGAGAATTCAGAGGGTCTGCAAAGGTCATCGGATAAAGGCTGTGAAATAAGGAACCCACTTGGTCTAAAATTAATGTTCTGAAAACCACGTTCCTAGTCATCAAGGAGGAACGAGCGGCCCGAACAACTCAAGTAACGATCCAAAATGCAAGTGATTAATGTAAATATTTTGGGATCTCTTTCAGTAAACTGTTGGCACATGGTCACGGAATAAAGCTCAGCAGAGAGATGATGTGGAAATGTTTCTTCCAGACAGAAAACAGAACATGCAACAGAAACTTAAAACTGGCTTTGAGAAAGGCGCATTGCCCAGTGTGACGAAATTCACAGTTGCTTCGTCCTGCATGGAACTGCGGCCCTTAATGCATGTTTCAACAGAAAAGCCTGAAGCGTTTGAAATATGGATCTATGATAGGATACTCACGATTGCCTGAAGCAAGGCAGTGGCCAGCGAAGGTGAATGAATAAATACCCAAAGAATCATAAACACATAAAACGTAGACAGCTAGAGTAGTTTGGTTCCATGAGAAACACAGGATTGTTACAGCTGATCATTCATGGTAAAAAATATTGGAGAGGAATGGAAAAAGGAAGAAACTTCTCTAGAGACAACACAATGGCCTCCTTTAGAGCAGCTGCATGCAAGCACAGAATAGCCAAGACGATTGACAGCCCCTGATGGGAAAGGAGGGAGAAGAAGAAAGCGACTATAAGACATATTATGTCAGATTAGGTATACAGTACACAGGAAAATCACATATGCCGGGGGGGGGGGAGAGGGAACACATTGGAGAAATTTAAACACCCACCTATGAAGAGTAATAACAAAAAAGACAGTGTCCCAATTCTGATTGTTTTGCATGGTAAGTTGCACTAGAGGAAGCCCGCTGAATCCATAGGGATTTCGTGGGTCCATTCCTCCCTAAATTCCACGGATTAAAATGGGTCTACTCAAGTTGTGACTGACTATTTTAAAGTAAGCTGCCGTTAAAGTAGGACCATTTGAACCCGTGGAGCTTAGGGAAGGAGGAGCTGGCTCATGGGATTCCCTGGCACCCCTCTGGCGTGACTTACTCCTGGATTTCAGCCAATGCATTTTTAAGTGTCATTTTAAGGAAGGGCAGCGACTAAAACGCTTCTTCTCCTCGGCTTTGGGACACCATCACAGATTCACTAAAGCTAGAAGCGCGGCAACGCCTGAGAAAGAAATGTGCAAATAGTCGGAAAGCCAGACGGATAATTCTTCACCAAAAAGTGTATGGGAGAGAAACGGATATGGTCAAGAATCCAAGCATCTCAATCCGCATGTGTTGGTAAACGATGCCTACAAATTCGTAACTGAGAGACCCAAGAACCGAAGGAATTGGCAGGTTAAATGAAACACACACACCCAAAGTCAGGAACTGCCTAGGTTTCGGAAGCTGTTCTTTGGGGATGAAACTGACAAGGTCTGACCAGAGACCAGGAGAGGAGGGGAAACAGCTGTTTGTTTGTGGCCTTTTGGAGAACTCAATTTAGTCAAAAGATCTCACTTCTATTCATTTGCTACAACTTACAGCAACATAAATTCCTATAATTGTATTTCTACTACCCTGAAGAAGTGCCAAAGAACGCTGTAAGAACACCCTTGGGGGGGAGGGAGGCAAGAAACCTCGGTTTTAGTAAGGGTAGCCTTCACCTATCGCGGATTCTCACCTCAAGGAAGCCACCGCCTTTCCCAAGAAAAGGTCTTTTCCAAAGCAATGAGTCAACACAGACAAGGTGTTCCATCTGTGGACGATTTTCCGTCAGGACCTCTTAACTACAACAGGGCAATAAAGGAAAGCTCTCCCTTGGTTGAGAAACTTGGGAATGTTTTGGGAAAACTACCAGCAGGCCTCCTAGGACAGCTTCCGACTGATCTCCAAATTTATGAGGCCTCTCTTTAAATCACCAGCCAGGGCTCCTGGATCACACCCTTGGAAGCCAGGGATGGGAAGCCTAGAAGGGAGAAAGCCCTCAAATGCCTCCAGGTTGCCCCAGACATGGACCCCCACCAGGTGACGCAACGGCAGGTGATTTCACCCGGCATGGCCCATCAATTAAGAAAACTGGAAAGTGGCGAAAATCAGGCTTTCTTCCTTACACAACTGAAAACAGTACAGTATCTGTCTGGTCTGGGTATATGGTGTCTGCCCTGGTTAGTGGAAAAACAGAACCATTAGTCATAAGTGACTAATTTACATTCTCGAGCTTCCATGTTCAGGATGCCGTTTACAAAAAGCGGGCAAAGCTAGAAGAGAACTACCTAATCACTCCAGGGGGAGGTTACTTTAATTCAGAACCTCGCGGCCGACCTGATCTCTCCCTGTCCGCGGCACCCAGGCACCTCAGAAACAGATTTGCAGCCTGTTCGCCTCTTTAAGCCCTCGCCTCCTCCTGCCGGCCTTCTCCTAATCGCGTGGTCCCATTTTTAACCAACGAGCAGCACTTCACACAACCCCAGGCAGCCTCGCAAAGGATGCCTTACCCCCAGCCCTAATCTGGAGATTGCCAGGGCACCGTCTGACAGGATCAGAGAAGCCGCCTCTGGCTTTCTCGCCCTCTGACCGATTCTGCACCGGGATCACCCCTTCAGCTGCTGCTGCCTTGACTCCAGATCCCTCCCTTTCAGGCTTCACTGCTAGAGGCTAAAGGGCTCAATGCCTCTCGGAGGCTCTCTGGAGGCTGCTGCTGCTGCCACCGCCGCGTATACAACGAACATCTGGGGAAAGCTGGAGATTTCGAGCCTTAATCCAAAGCAGAAACTTCTGATTTCAAGTTCTCTCTCTCTCTCTCTCTCTCTCTCTCCCCATCTTGATACTGTGCTTTACTCATTGATTACGAGGTTTCAACATCCAGGCAGGTTGACACGAAGATTTTTTCCCCCTGTTTCTCTCTCCCTGTTCTGGAATGCCCAGCCTGAGACAAGCAGGACTTGAAAGGCCGCCTGCTTCTGATGTTTTAGGAGCCCCATAAAGGTGCACTTACCCACGCTTGCTTAGGGAACTGTTTTTAGAGAACCTAATCTCTGCATCGTCGAGGCGGACGGCTGAAAAACCAACCAACCCACCCCTTGAGTTGAGTCCCTGATGCGACTGAAGTCCGACTTGACGGCGAGTCCCCCAACCCGAGTCCCCCCCTCCGGGCGAGACCCCCAACCATGAAAGAAAAGACCGCAGGTAGAAAGGCAGGATCCGAACCTTCAGCAGTGAGAGCCGTGCTCTGCGAGGCTCAGGCTGGCATTTAAACGAGGCAGAGGAAACCAAGGAGCCACGATTGCCACCCGGTCCCTTTCCCATCGCACCCACCGCAACAACGGCTGTGTGTGCGGACTGGCTCCACTCTCAAATCCAGCAAGGCCCAAATCACCAAACGAAGTCTCAAGACAAGCCCAAGGCGTCAACCACCACCGAGCTGGATTAGGGGCTGCATGGCTGCTGCCTGTCGGGTCAGGAGAGGCTCCCCTTGACCTACAACATGTCCCCACAGGCAGGCAGCTGATATGGGAAGGGGGCAGGGGGCAAACACAAATGCACTTTAGGGCCCCCTGCCTTGGATTCCCCCTTCCCCTGACAAGGGGGCTGTTTTCTTTTTGGAGTGGCTGCCCCTTNGACGGGAAGGGGGCAGGGGGGCAAACCCACAAATGCACTTTAGGGGCCCCCTGCCTTGGATTCCCGCTTCCCCTGACAAGTGGCTGCCCCTTGTCAGCCTCTAGCCCCCCCCCACACACACACACACACATGGCAAAGAAATTAGCCTTCAGGGACTGGTCACAAGATGATCCTTCCTCCTTTGGCACTTTCATCTAGAAAGCTTTAGACCTTCACCACTGCGGAGGGAAAATAAAAAGGCGCAGCAAACTAGGAACGGAACAGCTGAGGATTGCAACTAAGCATTCCAGGAGCAGTATTCCATAAAGTTCAAATTTCCAAGCTTTAGCTAAATATCATGAACCAGGTTTTCCAGCAATAAGTAAAGGGCCTTTTTAATGAGACAGTATTTTCGCAACTTACTCAATGCTAAAAAAAAGGCGTGTTTAAAAGATCAGAGAAGATCTTTGTTTTCTTTTTAAGTTCTTTTAAATTGCTTTCACTCAACAGGATTTAAACACTTATCTCTTGTTTAAAGGGGTGTCCACATAATACTGTTTTCTCTCTTTCTACCTGCAGGTGCCTTTATCTGTGCTGTCTGAACCTGTGTTTAAGCTTGTTGTGAGCTGCCTAAAGTCCCAGTCCCAGCAGAAAGATGGGAGATTAGTCAAGCAAATCAATAAACAATTTAGCAAAATTGGCTGTGTTCTAAGCGCTGATGAAGGGTCGGCTGGCTGTCACCGTTCGTAAAACCGAGATGGAAAAGAAGCAGCCAAAGGTAAGTGGAATAGGAAGGTTCAGGAACAGCTGAGCTAAACTTTCTTGCATTTTCCTCTGATATATATGTAGGTATATATAAATATTTACAAACCATTTAGCAAAAAGATTTCAAAATGCTGACAATGTTACAATATATAGCAAACACAAGATGAGAGTCAAAACTATCCGTGTACTTGCTTCCTAGCTTTTGACACACCTTGTGGGATGCTCACAAGAGTTTCCAGCATTCAAACGGTGAACTGAATGAGCAGGGAACGGAGTCCAGGAGGTCTCAAAGGTCAAGGGAGAAATTCCAGGCCAGCAAAAGGATTACTTGCTTCACAGCCAAATGGGCTCGAAGCCTTAGCACCAACCCAGAGTAAACTCCCAGGAGGACACACCATGGAGGAACAAGGCAGGTTCTGAATCGCCCATACGTACTAAAATACAGAAGTTAGAAAAGGCCGCTGGTGTTTCTGGCGCACTGGAAGCCAGTTCCCTTTAAAAACATGACAAACCCGAGAACTCACCTACCTGCCTTGACCTGCGGTCAAACGATAACAACACTTCCACGGGCAAAGAGAAGCTGCATGTTTTTCTCTTCTTGAGCTCTGTTAAATGTTAACTTTTATCCCCGAGGAGGAAAGGAGGGCCCAAAGTCTCTTCCCCGGGTTCTCTGGCGTCGGTCGGCACCTCTTCTCCGCCCCGAAGCCTAATGGCTGCTGTCAGCTGGAGCATCCCTTCCACCGAAACTTCCCATTCCTCTGTGGCATCTGCCGCGGAATGCCAGAAATGCCACCGCGCCGGTTGCTGCTGCTGCTGCCGCGTCGCCTCCTCCTCCTCCAGCTGCAGCGTGAGAAAGAAAGGGCGGAGGCCGGACGGAGGAGGAGAACCATTCACGCTCCTCTTCTTCTTCTTCTACTTCGCCATGGCCCCCCCACCCCCCCCCCCCCCGAAAGCAGGTTTCTCAGGGAGGAATGTCCCAGACGATGGTGGTGACACAGGGCTCCAGGAACGGCATCTGCAAGGAAGCAGGACAGGCAGAAAGACAAGAGTCAGCGAGAGAGAGAGAGAGAG